TAAAGATGACTCCTAACTAATTGGTTCATTAAGACTTCTTGTCCAGCTCACGGATTTGAGATTCAACAGTTACAGACGTGAGCCTCTGGTAGCCTGTGAGCCCTGAGGATGGGGAGGCCACTCCCGGAGATCAGAACCAGGATAACCCACGCCCATGGTTACTGTAAGAATGACAGACTCTCCTACATCTGTGACGGGGAGAAATAACCAAGGGGTGTACTCATGAAGGATTAAGTGTAGTTGGCCTTGAGCAGGAAGGCATAGTGCTGGTGCAAAGAAGAGAAAACGGTCAGCTGAACCCCACACCACATTCACTAAAAGTGATGTAATTGACTCCAGCTAAGGTGAGTGACAAAGACATCCATTTCTTGTGTTAGATGGGGTAATAATGAATAAACAAATAAGGCTTTCCCTCGAAGACAGGCATGTGCCAAGGTCTCATGCATTTGCCAATGGTAAATGGCAAAAAGGGAACAAGGTAACACTATAGAATTAGCTGTCCAGTTTTGCATATTTTATCTTTATAACTTTCTTCTAAAAGAGTAGCTTTTACCCCTGTAATAACAGTAACTAATGTGGAAAGCCCACCACAAACACAGTCAAACGTTGATAATGCAGTTTTAAAGCTCAGATCAACCCACAATATTTGAGTCACACTAAACATTCTGTATATTTCCCTCCTAAAAGAATAAAATAGAATATTCAGAAATCACTTGCATTTCATCAGCCTTCCACACCCCCATTAAGCCAAGATTTCCAGTGAATCTTTTCCTAGCATCTTTGACTATTAAAAATAACCTCTTGTATTTTGTAAAAGCCTGGAATCATGGAGAGATTTATGCAAGGTATGAGAGATAGAAATATATATGCAGAGGCAGAGGGGAGGAGAGAGAGAGAGAGAGAGAGGAGAGACATGTCAGTTTTTTTCCTTTTTCCCCTTTTCATTGTGGGGTCTGGGAGCAGAAACAGTGAGTCACAACAGACTTCTAGGAGTAGGAAGGTAGCGGTCTGCAGGCTGCCAAAGAAGTGAACCAATGACCCCACTATTTTTTAAAAGAAAATTTTATTGATTTTACTAGAGAGAGGAGAGAGAGAGAGATCTGTTGGCCAGGACTGACCCACTCTATCCATAGTCTTGGTAGGATTGTGAAGGAAATAGTTTTGTTGTTCTGATCACCTCCTGGTCACAGCATTGATGAGGGAGGGACACCACACTTTAAATAGTATGAGATGACCCCATGCACAGCACCCACCAGTGCACAGACCAGATGGACAGCACTATCTAATCATATGTATTCACAGCCCAGGAGAGGAGGCATCGCACCCCACCCAGGCCCACCCGGGGTGCTGTCAGGAGCAGAGCAAGTAAGCTGGGGCTGGAGGAGGCAGGCTTGGAGCAACAAGGGAGGAAGCCCGTTTTTCTTAGCTTGTTGGGGAATGATGAAAATTTATGAGGTCGATGCAGGAAGTACATAGATGGTCCCCAGGAGAGATGGCTAGGGCTTTCTGGCTAGCATTAAGAAACTTCAATGCCTGGAAAGGAAAAACACAATGTCCATCTCTCCTGCTGACTGAGTAATGATCCAGATCGTGGGACCCAGTGTAAGTACCCAAGAAACTTCCTGTTAGTCTCATTTTTTACTCTTGCTTTATTAAAGTATAATTTACACATTATAAAATCCACCTGGTTGATGTCTACAGTGCATTACAGAAAAAAATGGAAAAAGACCTAAATCAGTGGCAAGACATCCCACGTGTGAGGTGAGGAGACAACACTGGTAAGATGCCAGTACTCCCCAAACTGATCTTACTTCTGCCCTTTCCTCTCTTTTCCTTCTGTACTTCCATTACATGTATGTTGTTCGATTGATGGTGTCCCACAGGTCTTTGAGGTTCTGTTCACTTTTATTTCTTTTTCTCTTCATATTGGATACATTTATTCACTTATCAAGTTTGCCAATATATTTTTTTGCTAGTTCAGATCTGCTTTTGAGTCCCTCTGGTGAGTTTTTAATTTTCATAATCATACTTTAAAAAAATATATATTTTATTGATTTTTTTTTTACAGAGAGGAAGAGAGAGGGATAGAGAGTTAGAAACATTGATGAGAATCATCCATCAGCTGCCTCTTGCACACCCCCCACTGGGGATGTGCCTGCAACCAAGGTGCATGCCCTTGACCGGTATCAAACCTGGGACTTTCCAGTACACAGGCTGATGCTCTATCCACTGAGCCAAACCGGTTTCAGCATCATCATACTTTTTAAACTCCAAAATTTCCATTTGGTCCTTTGAACATTTTTTTTTAATCTTCACCCAGGGATATGCTTATTTATTTTAGAGAGAAAGGAAGAGAGAGAGTGAAACATCAATGTGAGAACATCAATCATGATCTCCACATCCTCGCCAGCACTTGTCATTTATTGATATGTTGATGGTAGCCATTCTGATAGGTATGAGATGATACCTCATTGTCATTTTAATTTGCTGTTTTGAGTATAAATAGAAACATAGGCATACAGAATTAAAATGGCTATTAATAAGTACCAGCAATGGTAACCTTAAATGTAAATGGATTAAATACTGGAATCAAAAGACATAGAATAGCTGAATGGATAAAAAACATGACCCCAACTATATGTGGTTTACAAGAGACCCACCTCAGAAGGAAAAATCCATATAAAATGAAAGGGAGAGAGAGAAACATGGATATGAGAAACATTTATTCCCTCCCATATACACCCCTATTGGGATCAAACCCATTACCTGTGTGTTTTGTGACCTTTTAGTGTTTGGAATGATGCTCCACCAACTGAACTACACTAAGTAAGGCAATAAATTTCTGTTTTTTTTTTTTTTCTTAATCCTCACCTGTGGAGTGATATTTTTACCATTGATTTTTAGAGAGTGGATGATAGGGGGTGAGACAAAGAGAGAAACATTGATGTGAAAGTGACACAATTGGTTGCCTCCTATGTGTGCCTCATCTGGGGGCAGGGATCAAACCTGCCCAAGTATGTACCCTTGTCCAGAAATAAAACCATTGACCTTCTGGTGTGCAGAACAATGCCCTAACCACTTAGCAATGCTGGCCAGGACATGATTTTTTTTTAAAGCATGTTTTTATTTCAGAGAGGAAGGGAGAGAGAGAGAAACATCAATGATGAGAATCATTGATTAGTTGTCTCCTGCACGACCCTTCACTGGGGATGGAGCCCAAAACCCTGGCATGTGCCCTGACTGGGAATGGAACCTGGCTCATAGGTTAACACTTAACCACTGAGCCATACAGTTCGAACTGGTTTTAACAAGAGAAGCATTCTCCTGAATAATGACATTGATGGGGAAGTGAGCATACAAAGACCTCATCTTATAAAGAGGTAATATGCAAATTAATCCTCATGCCCTCAAAGATTGCTGCCTATGACCAGGTCGGCAGGGGCATTAGTGAGGGATGACAAAACGGCTGAACAAGCAGGCTGTGTGGAGCAACCAGGCAGCAGGAGGGTTAGTGAGGGACAACCAAACGACTGAACAGTAGGCTGTGTGGGGTGACCAGGCTGGCAGGGGGGCTGTGAGGGGTGACCAGGCAAGCAGAGGGGACAGTTGGGGACAACCAGGCTGGCAAAGGGGGGGGGCAGTTGGGGGATACCAGACCAGCGGGAGAGGGGGCAATAAGAGGCGACCAGGCTAGCAATGGGGCAGTTAGGAGCGACCAGGTCACTGGGGGCAGGGTTGCAATTGGGGGTGACCAGGCCTGCATGGGGCCAGCTGGGGACAATTAAGCTGGCAAGGGGGGCTTGGAGGGGCATTCAGACCAGTGGTGGTGGGGAGTTAGGGAACAACCAGGCTGGCATGGAGGGAGCAGTTAGGGGTGACCTTCCCAGCAGCAGGGGGCAGTTAGGGGTGATCAGGTAGGCAAGCAGTTAGGGGCAATGAGGCAGGCAGGTGAGTGGTTATGGGCAATCAGTCGGGCAGGCAAAGGGGTTTGGGAAGATCAGGCAGGCAGGCAGAGTGGTTAGAGGTGATCAGGGGCGATCAGGCAGGCAGGCAGGCAAGTAGAGAAGTTAGGAGCGAACAGACAGGCAGGTAGGCAAACAGAACAGTTAGGGGATGATCAGGCAGGCAGGAAGGTGAGTGGTTAGGAGTCAGTGGTCCCAGATTATGAGAGGGATGTCCAACTGCTGGTTTAGGATGGCAGTTGGAAATCTCCTGAGGGGTCCCGGATTGTGAGTGTGCACATGTCTGACTGAGGGTCCCGCCCAACCCCATGTATGAATCTCGTGCACTGGGCCTGTAGTAAGTAAATAAATAAGCATGAGAATGTAAAAATCTTACCCCCTTCACAAAGCCTCAGGCCCAGCTTCCTCCTAAATTTCCTCTGTCCCCTGAAGAGGCATTAAAGTAGGCAGCAGATAAGGGATAAAATTATGTAAGTGGGCAAGGAACAAATAGGACATAGGGAAATGGAGCCCATAATAATTGAAGAATGTAGTCTTATTTTTCTCATTTTGCCATACCTCCCAGAAAAATACTAAAATTCCCAAACAGCCTACTTTAGCATTAAGATGGGACTGAGAGTGCTCTGGAGGAGATCAATGCTAGTCTTTTGTTCAACTCGAAAGAGAAGGTAGCCTATAAAGTGAAAGGAAATACAGACTTAGGTCAAAATATCAAAGCTCTGGTCTTAGCTCTGTCCATAGCTATGTAATGTATGAAACTCAAGTTTTACAGATCTGTGATTCCCTTTCTGCCCAAGTTGTGGGTTAGAGGAGATAAATTTAAAAAGCCCTTTCAGCACTAAAATTCACTTTGACTCTGATAGCACATATAAATCATAGCAGAAAATTTATTAGAAATGTCCAACACATCCATAGGAACTCTATGTTCTTCAAGTCTCCACCTGCTCATTAACTCATGACCAGCAGTCGGAGGCTCCCAGTCCAAAGAGGCATCCTATGACTCAGGACAGATGTCTCCACAGGAACACTGTCGAGCAATTATAGCAAAAGCAGCAGCAATAGCCCAAACATCCCAACTGAAATGGGAAGCCAGGTAGTGGCCCCATTTCCAACCTTTCGGGGTTGAATGAGAGATTGGTATGGACACATTTCCTTTACCCACATGGGTCCAATTGTAAATATCCCAGACATCAGCCCACAACGAGGTACAGATGTACAGCCTTTGACCTCTAAAGTTGAGTTGATGTCTCCTATGGAACAAGGAAGGATGGGGAGACACATAGATGTTTTAGAAAACCAGAGAGAATCCAGTCCCTCCTCATTCCTGGATCCCTGAGTGTCAGAACCCCTTGTAATCCACTCAGATGTCTAGTTTTCTAGTCTCTGAAACCATCAGATGTTCAGTTTTACCTCCAACAATCCGAAGTTTTCCTTGATAGCATCGAGTTGTATCAATGGGACAGGGAAGAGAAGGCGCACTCAAACAAGCCCCAAAAGCTAAACAGGTTGGACAGTGGAAGGTTGTTGACATATTGGGAACTGGAGGGGGAAAGAGAGAAACAATTTTAGAGTATGTCTTGCTTTTGGAGTTCTCTCCTTGCTGCCTCATCTTCCCTGAGTCTTTTGTGTTGATGCCACTCTAATCAAGGCCTATTACTGCCACCTCCCCACTCTTTCCCAACTGATTTTCTTGGCTGTCAGAACCCCATCCAACATGACTTTCAAACTCTGTGCGTTGTCTATAAGGATCATTGTCTATAAGGAGAAAGACATGTAAATAATTGAATACAGCTCAGTAGGCACTATGTCTTAGGTATAAGAGCAAAAAATTAAAGGAAGACCCAACTATCTAAAAGAATTTGCTGTTTTCATGGAGCAGATATCTGAGTTGAGATGATGAATAGAGGTTAGCTTTGTGAAAATGGAGGGTTTATTGGCAGCAAAAGAAACAGTAAGGACAAAGGCCTGGAGTTGTGAGCCTACTTGGTGAATATGGGGAATTGTAAGAAATTTCAGTGTTGATATTCAACTGCTAGGCACAGGTAGGACTGGACTGGCTTTTATAATGGTGTCCATTCTGATTGGCCAGTGCCACCTCCATTGTCAACTATTTTGAATACTAGCCTCAGCCAGAACACATTAAATAAGAGAGGAAGAGAAGGAAGTGAAGGCAGAAAAGATAGGCCAAAAAGGGGAAGCAGGCTATGATCAGGTGGCAGTTGAGAGGCGATAATTGTTAGGCTAACCCCATCACCTTGTTCAGAGATCTTCACTGATATCTTGTTTAATAACACAAAACCCAATTTATATCTCAGCCTTCCCTGATAACCCTCTCTTCTGAGCAGTGTTGAGACCCCCAAGGCAACGATTTAGAAAAAGACAAGCAAAAGGTCTGAGGTCCCTTTGTGTGTGGCCAACTTGGGCCTAAGCCAAGTACGAACACAAAAAGAGGCGTCAGGTGGGTACGAGAGATGCCAGGGGCACACTGTGGAGCATATACAATCACATAACCACTATGCGGTACCCCTGAAAGTAACACAACGCTGAATGTAAACACAAATGATGATAACCTGGTGGGGAGAAAAGGACAAGAAGGAGGAAGACCTACCATGCCTTCCAGGTTTACAGAGTTTCTCTCTCCCCTCCCTGGGTACCTGGGATGATATTTGGGTTCCATAGCTCAGGTACGTTCTCTCTGCTGTCGCAGAAGGAGTGCTCACAGTAGCTACTGTAGGAGACCACCACTATGCCGGGCGGTGGGGCATGCTGGACGATGGTTACTGCCGGCATCCCTTCAGAGCTGCATCCCTTTGTGGCCAGAAGTGCTGTCTTGGCCCCTGGTTATGAGAGGAAAGAGAAGGAAGGGGGGGGGGGGAGGAGAAGGGCAGCGGGCCTCATGCTTGGCCCCGCGGAGAGGAGAATGGCACTGACATGGACTCCACCATCCTTCCTCCCACTCAGCTCCATGGACCCTTCTCATCTTACCCGATTTAACCATCATCAGGGATTCCTGGCACAACGCCCCATTGTCACAAGTCTCAACTTTCTCCGTGGTCCAATTAAATGTGCTCGGATCCTCTTCCAGACTGATGTATATACCCTTGTGACAGTACAATTGCTGCGCCACTGGGGTGGAAATAGGATACAGGTCAGGATTTGCCTGCCTCCGTGGGGCCCCCAGATCACACATTCCCTCCCCCCCAAAAAAAACCCTCCTGTGACCCGGCTGCTCGGGCCCCTCGACCCCCATACATACGAGTGGAGGAGGCTCCAAGGAGAAAGAGCAGCAGCAAACCCTGGATGTGACGAGTCCTCATGGCTCCGGTGAGAGAGGGTTAAGAAGAAATGACCAGGATCTGTGTGATTCGATGGAGGAGAGGAAAACCTTTCAAGCACATAGAAGGAGGCTAAATCTAGGTCCCAGGAGCGCGGGCCTCAGATGTATAAAATGCTGACCCCCTAAGCCAGTCCGCCAGGGTCCAACTTGTGGGTCTGAGCCAGTTAACACATTTGCTGGGCCTCAGTGTCCACGGCTGGAAGGCCGAGATCCAGCCACCCATTTCCCTGAGGCAAGGCGTTCAGCCATCAAGGGCCTCTCCTCCCTCAGGCTCAGGAGCCCAGCCCCAACCCATGGTGCTTCAAGGCCCAGCGGCCCCGGTCCCCAGTTCCCAGATCCATCAGAACCCGGGAGTCTGAGGTCTCCGCTCTGTCCTCCTGGGAGCTGGGGCTCAGCCTTCTCCCCCTGCAGGGCCCGTCCTCCCAGGCCCAGACTTCTCTCTCTCTCTCTCTCTCTCTCTCTCTCTCTCTCTCTCTCTCTCTCTCTCTCTCAGCTCCGGGAGTCCAGGGCCCAGGCCCACCCCCCTCGCTCCCGGGAGTCCTCGGCCTCCTCCAGGCATCTCTTTCCTCAGGACCCAGGAACCTCGGTCCTCATCCCCCTCGTCTCTTTAAAGGATTAAATTGCACCTGTTTCCAGAGAATTTTCACAGAAATCTAACGGTTCTAAAGGCGCGGCCCCGAACGCCCTCTGGCCCAGCTCAGCCCTCTCTGCTGGTCTCCGCGAGGCTCTGAAGGCCGGGCCAGACTCGCCTCGCCCCCCGCCCCACCAGGTCACTCGAAGCCCCATTGGTCAACCCAAAAGCTCCTGATGAGCTCATTGGATGAGCCTGAGGGAACCCCACACAGCCTGGGAGAAGCCTATTCCGGGCCATCTTGGAAGGCGCGCATGCGCCAAAAGGTGAGTGGCGGTTAAGCGGCTGCGCGCGCAGCGGGTGGGTGGGGCCGTAGGTGGTGTGCAGGGTATTTGCAGCTCCCGGCATGACGCGCGGGGCGGGGTAGCGGGCCTCGGAGGATATTTTCTCTCTTGGGGCCATGGTGGCTCAGCTTCTCCAGCCATGCTGTGCACAAGCTTTTAGGATGTAACATGGAGTGAAGATGCCTTTTCTGTACTATCAGACTTGGAACTGTTTCTGTGAGTTCTACGGTATAAATGACTATTTTTTTTAAATAGAGAAAATGCTGTAAGAATGATGGCAGTAAAGCTCTTAATTTTAGGTGAACATATATTAAGAACTTGGGAATGGTTAATAAAACTCTTAAGACAGTGAATACAAATATTGAGATAGCAATTTAGCTAGACTAGGAAGAATATCATATCCTTTTAGGATCCCTCAAAAAATTCTTTTAAATAGACAGTAACCCAAGACAAAAGAGCTGCAATTATATTATGTTGTAGCCCTAATTATTTGATGTTTTAACATTCAGAACACCCTCCTCCATGGTCAAGTGATTCATGGAGGGATTGGGAAATAATTGGGTGTCAGATGCCCTCAGGTCCTGGATTTGGGGACAAGATGGGTTGGGGTCACAGTAGGCAGGAAAGGATGAAGCATTTCACCAAAGGGCCATGGCCAATGCCAGCCTTGCCCCAGCATCCAGGCCAGGAGCAGTGCCTTCAGTTTCAGGGAGGAGTAGTGAGTTCTGGTAGTAGTGAGCGTGTCTGGATGGCATATTCTAGAAGTGTTGCCAGTTATTTAAAAAATTGAAGTGATTGCCTTATTTGGTGCCTGTTTACAGGGAGCAGACTTAGTAATAGGTACTATGGTTTTGATCCCATATCCAGGAGCAAAGTTAGAGAAAAGATAGCAAGAAATTCACCTCAAATGCCGGGTCCCTGATGTCTGGCTCCCATCCTCTTATTGTACAGGGACCTATGGTTCCCTAACCCAGTGCCCTCCTCCCTCTTAATATATTAAGAACTTTCAACTGGGGACAGTTAACATCTCTCTATATAATCTCTATATAAAAAAGGCGAATATGCAGTGTCCCCTCAGGAGTTCGCTCGCTCGCTATGATGTGAGCTGACCATCAGGAGGAAGCAGGAAACATGGCAGGCGACCAGTGTTGTTGGTGGTGGTGATGGTGGTGGTGGTGGCAGCGTGCTGAGGGAGCAAGGGAAGGAGGAGGCAGGGAGGTTGGGGGGGTGGGGAGAGACCACACAGTGGCAGCAAGGGAAGGAGGAGGCAGGGAACCTGATCAGCCGTGATCTCCAGTCAGGCCTAGGGACCCTACCCATGCACAAATTTTGTGTACCAGGCCTCTAGTCTATAATAATAAAAGTGTAATATGCTAATTAGTCGAGGCATCCTTTCAGAAGTCATTTCTTCCAGACAAAGCCACAGTGGGCAGGGGCTACAGCAGACATAGCAGAAGGCCTTGACTGAGGTGGTCGTGGCTGGTGGGGGCCGAGGCCAAGGCCTTTGCACAAATTTCATGCATTGGGCCTCTAGTTAAGAATATAATTCTGAATATTATTATTATTAACATAAATATTAGGGGCAGCAAATATAATGAATATTAAGAAATGTTTCTGATCTGAAAGATCCTGATCCTGAGAACCCAAGAGTCTGAGTTACTTTTCCTTCTTTTCAGGACTCAGGGCTTCAACACCCTCCTCCATGGATCTATAATAGCATGTGGTTTTCCTGTAACCACAGGCATGGGGTCAGGTTTCAGATCTAGGCCACAATCACCAATGCAGGACCAATGAATTAAGAGGAACTGGAGGCCAGAGAGGGTGGCTGGGAGCTGCCCAGCCACTTGTTTCCAGTCCCTCATTGATTCCCATCTCTCTGACTAGCCCTTTCCCTACCTCTTCATTCCTGGCTTCACAGCTGGCTTCTAGCATCTATAGTGAAGGTCCTCTTAAACTGAGGTTTGGCTGGTGTATTTGTTTCTTGGGGCCGTAGTAACTAAGTACCACAGACTAGGAGGCTTAAACAAAAATGTGTTGTTTCACGGTTCTGGAAACTGGAAGTTCAACATAAAGGTGTCTACAGGGTTGGTTCCTTCTGAGGGCTGAGAAGGAAGGATCTGTTCCAGGTCTTTTCTCCTTTTGTTTTCATACCATCTTCCTTTTGTGTTTGTCTCTCTGTGTCCAAATTTCTCCATTGTGTAAGCACACCAGTCATATTGGATTAGGATCCACCATAATGACCTTTAACTTGATTACCCCTATAAAGATCCTATGTCCAAACAGGTCACTTTCTGAGGTCCTGAGGGTTAAGGATTCAACTTGTTAATTTGGTGGGGAGAGGGGGAAACAATTCCACTCATAACAGCCTGTTAGAGAGACTTAGGTTGCAGATGAAGTAGTGAGTTCCAAACAGCCCTCCAGGGGCATGCCTGTGCCATTTTGTGATTTCTTCTATTTTACTCTCTTTTCCTGCTGGGACCCTGACCAATTAAATAATCAGGATAAGGAGTGGTACCTGGATTCTGGGATTAGGGTTCCATCACTTAGGAGAAGCACAGAGGTAAGCACCTTGATGGGGAAGATTTGGCACAGGTGAGACAAAGCCTATGGTTAATTTCACAATTGTTCAAATGATCACTGGTGTGAGCAGTGAAAGAAATGAAAGGTATTGGGTGTTGAAGTGGCTGTGGCATTTTGTTACTATGGCAACAATGGTGAATATGTTGATTATAGAGTTGTTTTCTTTGGATGATCATAGAGAGCAAACACAGACAAGAGTTGGGGAGCAATTAAAAAATGAGAATGTTCAAATGGAAATTCAATGGGAAATTGGAGAGCTTCCTTGGAAGAGTGTCCCTTTTCTCCTCTAGGTCAGGTATGGCTGAGGACCATGCCCAGAGCTCGATTGCAGAGTTGCATTACCAGGTAAGTGTTTAACCCTGCCAGGCTGTGCTAAGGTGAAGGCACTGGTGACCCTCAGACATGGGATGAATACCTTGACCAGACCAAACCTCCCACACATTGATGGTCCCACTTCCATTTGGGCCCTCCTTGCACAGAAGTCTGCCAATGAGGCATCTGGGGCAGTCCTTTCACGAGGAAAAGTTTGTCCTCCAGATCTGCAACAAGATTGAGTTTTCAACATAGTCAAAGAAACATAGGACCTGCCTGGGATGAGCATGCCACACACTGAGACCCAACAGGACCTTGCCAATATGCACTGGCAGGAGTCCTGGAGCATGTGTATGAATAGATTCTGTGCCAGTTATCCATTTATTGCCTTTCAATTCCAAGTCCACTCTTCATTGCCCCGCTAGATCTTGCAGTCATATTTTTTATAGTCCACCTGGCACGATGCTCGACTTTGCCAGTAGAGGGTGCTAGAGGACACTGCAAGAGGATGGGCTTATCTTCCAGCCAGGTGGGGAGAGGTTGCTCCTTATATTCCTTATTCTTTAGAGTTCTCTTTACACTTTTAGTAACAAGTCCACAAGTTAACTCTCATTCCCTGTTACTAGTGAATAATTTCTTATATTAAACTTTGCCTGTTAAAATTAGTGTGTGGTTTCTGACTCCTTCCTGTACCCAGATTGACTCAGATTCTAAGGGAGTGAGACCAAAGAGGACCAAGAGTAAGGCTTCCTGGGGTTGAATTTTTTCACATGAGTTGTTATAGGTTTTAAGGTTGCCTCAAGCAACTGAGACTATCATTACTAGTCTGCTTGGTTAGTCAGTTAATATCTGGATCCAATGCTAGAGCTTCTCTGGCACATTGGTGATAGAGTCCCAAGTTTGGGGACATGGGAAGTTTTCATGAGTCTGTCATATGCAGCCTCCTCAGTCACCTCTTACTACATTTCATGGGAAGGAATTAAGAAATAAACAGAGGAACACAGGCGTGGGTTGTGGATATCAGATCAATGGAGATAAGAAAAAAAGACAAACCTGGGATGGAACTCACCCCAATGAATCCTTAAATCCCCAAGAAGTTAAGTTTGCTTGCCAGGTATTAGAAGAAATTTGTCAGAAAAATAATTAGGGCCTGGCCAGTATGGCTCAGTGATT